TTTCAGAGTCCAGTGATAAACCCAAGGCTGCTGCTTTGATCCTCCTCTCCCCTAACAACGGGCTCACCGCGGCAGAAACACGCAGGGTGGGGATTTCTAGTTTCGCTCGTGCTGACACAAATCAAGTGCAGGTTTCTCAAGCTGTGAAGTATATTAAGTTCACAGAGTTTTAACAAAGGGCTACCAAACCGCAGAACCCCACTGCGAGTCACACTTCTTTCAGATGTCCTTTTAATTATATTAAATGAAAGTTTGGGGCACTTTGATGCTGATGGGCAAACATCTAGATCTCTTGAAAAAGCTACTAAAAGTACTCCCTGTAGCTATAGTTAATATACGACATTGTATGCACACTGCTAGCCAATTTATTCCAGCCACTTTAACAACGATACCTCGCCTGACAGGCCATGCGGAATAGCATCAGGAGTCGAGCAATGCGCAAATCATTATAGGACTCTGAAAGTTGTTTGACATGCGCTGCAGAGCTCTTTGTCATACAGCCAATTAAGTGACCAAACAAGGAACTCGAAAATCCTCATTAATTTGCCCCTTTCTATATAAATGGAGGTTAGAGTCTTGTCACAGGCACAACAAGAACACAAGTAAATGCAGTATAATTCAATTTACGCTCCCTCTCAGAGCTACAAGTTTCTTTCATTTAGTCTTCACGGAAGTTGGGAATGGCCATGCAAGCAAGAGAGAAGTGGGACAAACAGAATTAATCCACTTTAAATAGTACTGGCTAAGTCCCAGACGCACCTTTTATCTGCTGAGAGCTACTAGGTTAGCAAAGAAAAAAAAAGTCTCTTCTTCTCAGCTCTAAACTTAATGCCTTGAATCCTCTGAGGAAAGCCTTTCACTTTGCGCTTAGTACAGCAATTCACACAGCCCACATTACAAGTGTGAAGCGTTCAGAAAACTTCCAGGAGAACCAGAAGGACAACTCTGCAACCACTTGCCACTGTCTGCTACCTTGAACCTGCCAACAACTCAGCACTGGCTTCACTGGTGTCTCCGATGACACCTGCACCCAGAAGCTCTTGTGATCTTCAGGGAGCAGGTGGCACCTCCACAGTCTTCACCATTTGCTGCATAGACAAGCCCAGAATTACAAAGCAGAGCACGCTGATTTACAGAACAGCCCGGAGGATGGCAGGAACCAGAGAAGCAACCACCATGAGACCAGAAAAATGCTGCAAAAGCAACGCTCTGCTTCCTCCTTCCATCCTTCCCACAAAGCTGCCAGTCAGGCTATCTATTGTATTCACCAGCCTCCAGCTTTGAAGCCACAAGACTGGCTTTAGAAAATAAAAACCAAAAAGAATGGGAACCCTGTGAAGTTTTTGTCTTCCGAGATCTGCATCCCAAACACAGCATGCAGTTTCACATGGGAAGAGGCTGCTGGCTGGCATCGCAGGGAAATTCATTGGCCTCATGATGCTCCAGAGCTCCAGCCCACAAATCTGAGCAAAGCAAGGAGGCAAGCTCAGATTTTGCAATCAGATGTACATATGTGATTAAAAGACTCCATGCACACACGGACGTGGTATGAACCTTTATTAAAGGCTGGGTTTCCAGCTAATAAATCTTATAGCAAAATTCTTTAATTTTTTCCCCCATGTTTAAACTTTCCATGTTAATATGGCCTAACTTATTGCAATATTTGAGTACTCAGCCTTCTTTTTTTTCTTTACTACCCCACCTCCATTCCCAGAGGCCAGGGGAATTGTACCACCGCACTTTAAGTTGGGGAGCTGAGAAATAGTGATCACATGCCACTTGCTGAAGGGCATGGAAGAAATCTGTGACACCAAACCCAGTTTCACAGCCCCTAAAGATTTCATGTTTTCTACAACTCCAGTGCTTCAGTTTAAGGAGAAATGCCTTTGAAAATGAACAAACATAAATTCTGAAAAAAATACAGAAAAATCATACCGGCTTACGTCACACACCAGTCACCAAACGAAGCTACGAAGCTATGCTAATCAAATGCGTCACCCATTGTGACTCACGCTCCCACACGATGACTTTTCCATCCCTTTCCCAAAATAGTGCTAGAACAGTGCACTGCAGACAGGTGAGCATGAGAGATAGAGATCTCTGCTCTCAAAAAAGCCACACGTTGTGTCCAAGCTCTCCTTAGCCAATGGAGCACCCTTCTGAGGCCACTCACTCTGTACATCTGACCACTCTGGTCATCTCAGCCTAAGTTAATTCTTAGTGTCATGAATTAAAGCCCATGTGGCCATTTCTGAAATATCACCATGACTGAAAAATCTCCCAGCAATTGTCTGGTCATTATATTAATATGTGTTTATCACGTCAAATATCAGGTCGGTTGTTGAATTTTTGAGACATAAAACATCATTTACCACAACTAAAGGAGCAGCATTTGTAACCTCTATCTCCAGAAATAAAATCCCTGAGCTTTTAACTCAACAAATACTGTGACACTGCACAAATTAAATCAATATTTGTTTCAATTATAAAATTACCCAGAGAGATGAGATGATAATCTGATACAGCATTCCCAGTCTCATATTCGAATAACTCACAAATTTTCCAGATATACATTTTGCATATTTATTTATATTCATTTATTTTGGTCTCAAGAAGACTTTACACCCCAAATGCTACAGGGGTTCTATGATGACTACTTGAATTTGTCAGCTCAGAGAAAACAGCAGGACTGATTTTAGCATTATTATCTTCTCAAGTCACCCTCCTCCTCTCCAAAATTCACTTGTTCTCAATTGCACTTTTGATAAATTGCTGGACATCTCTCACATAAACTTTGTACCACACTTTCCTTTGTCCAGGGAGCACAGGACTGAAGGTACACTGCCAGCCCTGTATGCCGAATTCAGCCGTGGATGCTCTTCACAATAATGAGATCAGCACAAGGAGATCATGTCAGCAAGGTTGAAACTTTATTTCTCTGCTATCAGTGGCATATTTCCCAGTGACTTCCTATCTCCCATTGACTTCACAAAATCCAGGATTTCACCATTTAAGATTTGTTGAAAAATCTATCCTAAATTGCCTTAGCCAGCCCAGACATTTCACTGCCTGCTAACGGATAAGTGCCCTGTAACAAGAATACCTGCAATCACATTTAATTGCTATTACAGACAAACTCTCCCTCACAAGATTTTTTAATGACTTTCACTACAAGATTTTCCAAATGGAAACATACTGTATGAAAATATGTCCAGATACATTACTTTACCTCCATATAATACAAAGCAGAGCTGGAAATGTTCAATTAGGACATCTAATTCATTCTTCAAGCCCTCCATTACAGGACTGTCCCCTTCAATATATTTACCAGTTTTGTCCATATTTATACTAAACAGCTCAGGCAATGAACTTTCATGAGTTTTCATCTAATAAAGAGGTAGGTGCATGACTAATGTTTAAACACACAAGTAGTCTTTCCAAGTGAAAGGAAAGAAGTCCTTGAAATTAAGGGTAAAAGATGAAGTTTGTGCAGAATATTCAGGCTTTATTCTATCAATGCCAAGCTTTCTGCAGAGTATATTAAACTCACTATTCACTGCTGTTTGAAAGAAGACAAAAAGACCAGGAACATGCATCAACGCTGTAGAGTACGCCTGTGCAGCTAGTGGAAAGGACAACTATGGGTCAAGTATCACCCAAGGTCCCCAACAGGATTGTGTGGTCCATGGTCAAACCAGCCTCATCACGTTTCCAGTGGTACCAGTAGATAAGATAGCTAGGTTGGGGGTGAGCGTTGCACTGTAAACTTTCCTAAATTCCTTCAAATGCTAGTTACTTTCTCTGGGATCTTACGAGAAGTCACTCCAGACAAGGTATGTATAACTCCATAACTCATCTTTATCTGTTAACATGGGAAGGCATAAGGTGACTTTCTCTCATGACCACATCCAAAGGGAAGACAGACAGTCTACCAGCACAGAGGGGTACTTTTTTTGTTTTAAATATCCTAGAAATCTAAACCATCTAATCCCATACACTAAATGAAATACATGCTCACAAAATAAAGTCAATACTAACTGTAGGAAGTTGAATTTTGCAGGAAAATTCAGGTATAGATAGCCCCCTTCAGAAGCATAGGGTTCATTTTTACACCTCTGCATGTTATACATACACATATAAATAATGACCAACCGCCCATAAGTACATCATCAATGTTCATAAGCACAAGACAGAAATTAGAAGGTAAATGTTCACACTTCTTAAAGTAGCATTAACTCACCCATAGTATACAAACAAGTCTATATAAAAGTCACTGGAGCAAATACTATAAGGCAAGGTGACAGGATAAATAACAAAACTTGAGGCCCCACTCTTGAAAAGCCTACAAGCAGGTCTTTCCAAAACACTGGGGCTTGACTTCGTTCATGTAAAACACAATGTAAGCCTACAAAAGTTGAGCCACAGCTGGGTGAACTTTACAGGATGTTATGTTCCTAATGCTATATTTAGTTTGCAGCATTCTCCTCCTTCCTAGATCCCTCTGCGAGGACACTGCATTTCATTATGATCCTACCTCCTCCCTCATGCCGACTGTGCCATTTCAAATTGTTTCTAATTTTGCAAGTGTAAGAGGGGAAGAAAAAAAACTAAGGAAATGCAGGCGGCAATTATGTGAGTTACATGCCGTAAGTGAAACCCAGCTGGTCTGGAGACACCTCCATGAGCAGGAGTTTTGCATTCTTTACTTGCACGCATCCACGCTGTCCTGCTTATTCTGATGGCTGGATAAGTCTTGTCAGATCTCTCCTATGTTTTTTTCCCACTTTCTGGTTCAGAGATTTTGTCCCAAAGTTTTGTCAAGTCTGAGAGCAACTGGGCAGATGGGGGGAGATGAAGAATGAAATTATTATCCTGTAACCTTAACCTTAGAACTTGCTGCCACAAAGATGATAATAATCAGATTATTGACAGAGACAAGACCCACTTCACAGTCATTCAGTCAAACAACTGGACACGTGTATTAAAAACACAAGAAATACCTGGACATAGGCCCTGCAAGAGCGCTCCCTTTTCTGAAGCTGAGTCCATAAAGACAGCAGATTAAAGACAGAATAGAAAAAACAAGTTAGTGACAGAACAAGGGAACAAAATTGAAGAAAATGCCTGTGAAAAAAACCTCATTTCTCTCAAACAGCTCCTGAAAACCAACTAAACCAAAGGAAGCATGCGAGTTAGGCAGCAGCAGAAGGCTGGAAGGACTGGCTCCAGAAATATGGGTTAGTCCTGTTTCAGTGAAGCAAAGCACAGACTGGCAACTTTGCAAGAGCAGCTGTTAGATGGTAGCAGACACTGAAGTCAAGAAGAGATGCTGAAGAGACGATGTTTTCCTTACAGCTTGGAGATCACATGTGATACTTCCATGTCAAACAAGGCTGGAAAGGATGGGGCTGATGGTTATTTACGTAAGAGGAGTGTGGGCTTTGCAGTCAGACAGCGCTAATGGCACACTGAAGTATCACCAAGCTTTGGATGAGCAGGACCAATTCCTGGGAGCAAGATGGATGCAGGACTGCATCTTGATACAGGATGGACCTGTACAGACCCATCCTGATACACGTGCTCAGGTCTCTGGCTAAAGGCAAAACCTATAGCGCCCCAGCTTCACTGTTGTGAGCTTGCTTAAAGCCTGCTCAGGCACATGTTGACTGTGCTAACACTTTGCACTGAAGGAGAGAGCATTGCCCAGGGCTCCTGATAGCGTAAAGGGCCACAATGAAATGGGAATCTGATGTAATATTTCCAGTTAAGGCCATTCTTTCCACTTGGGATTAAACTGCTTCTCCAGGAATGCATTTTCCAGTCCTCTCATACCAGTTGTGCTTTCCTTTGTAATTCCTGGGCCTAAATGTTTTATATGCTGAATAGCCTTTCCACAAAGAATCCCACCTTTTCCATAGAAGCTGTGTTTAGGACGGTACTTTGATATGCACTTGTATGTCTGCCGCCTGATAACTGCACTTCAGCGTGTCACGAAATTGAAACAGGCACTTATTTACCTCCCTGGGACTTTGGAGGCAGTCTGCAGCAGTGAGCTAGAACTGGTGAGCTCTGCATTGGTGCAACTAAACCTCACAAAATCAGGCTGCTCAGAGCACTGGCTTGGCTGGGTTTGTTTTTGCTGATGTGCCTGGGTTGGAAATAGCACATCAATAGAGATCCGGGGTAACTTGTGCTCTCAACTCACAGCAGTGCAATCCCATTAGTACAGCTGAGAGCCAAATTTGTCCCCGAGAGTTTTGAGGCTCTGAAATAAACAAAATACACCCAGGTATCACGCAATGCCTAATTTCAATTTCTAATTCATCAATTTGTAACAGTAGAAATCTTCCTCTGGGTAAACTTGGCCAGTACGAAGACTTTACAGAAACAAATGGAGATCAAAGAAAGCCTTGCTGAAAATTACAGAGCTATCCACTCAGGGGTCTTGCCAGTCTGCAATAGAACAATTATTACCTTAATTAAGCCTGATCCAGTGGAAAGCATAAAGCTTTTAGCGACAGAAAAGTGGGTCCTGAAAGATGACAGCTTTTAAAAATTCTGATTATGTCAGTTTATTTCAATTCATTGTACATCAGCTTGTAAAAAAAATACAAACCAGTACAAAACAGCACAGGTGATTTACTTTCAGATCCCAGCACACTTCCTTTAATCATTAAAAGAATATTTAATGGCTAGTGCTTACTTTATTTCTTCCTTCTGACTAAACAGCACTAAACAAAACTCTTTCCAAATGACTTTTTTCCTTTTTTTCTGGAAATACTCTTGATCGGTGAAGGGGAAAATGGAGCAGTAACTCTGCTGCCTTTTGTTTGCCCAATACTACTTCCAAGTTGAATTCATGCATTCTTAAATGAACACAGAGCAGTTGCTCTTCTAAAGAATTAAGTGGGGAATGAGAGCAAGTAAATTACCGAGCCTGTCATTTGGATCACTGACTCGCATCACTGTTTTGCAGGACTCCACGTGGTCCAGAATTTTAATGCGGAGTGCAATTGATTTGTATGAGCTGCTTGTGCAAAGCTGATGGCAGAGGGCAAAACCTGCACGGCAGACCCCAGGAGTGACAGCTGAGCTGAGGACCCCTGCCTTGCCCAATCTTCCCCTCCCCTCAGTAACTCGTACCTGCCCCTGTGGTACAACCCCATTTCATGTCATCGAAACAAGTATTGGAAGGCAGGATATAAGAAGATGAAAAATATGTGCTTGCAAAGCTGAAGTGACAAAATGTTGGGTGTGGCTAAGGCATATTCAGAAGAGCAAGCAAACTACAACCATGAAACCCGTTAGTAGGTGACATTAATTGCTGGTTTTACCTGATATTGTCAGACATCATCATCATTTCAAACAAAGAACCATGGTATGATTATAACAAATAATGTTATGCTGATGTAACAGTTAATACAATTATTACCTACACTGTTATAAAATAGCTGGAAGCAGCACTAATTAAAAGCATCAGGATAACCCAATTCACAGCACATGCAAAGCACATGAGATGCAGGACTTCAATTCCCATGCGGCTGTAATCTTAAACAATCCAGAAACCCTTTGCATTTAAAACAGCGTAAGTCTACAATAATAACTTACAAGAAAAAAGACAACGTTACTTCTCTGAAAAATACTTCTCTTCAGAAGACACGCAAAAAATTTCAGGCTTAGCTGGGATCATTTATTCCCCATATAACCTTGGGACCAACTTCTGTTCTCACATACATGGATGGCAGGGCTGTCAGAGCTTGCTACACAGCTGAGAACAAAATTCTGTGTCTTATTTTAACCGACTGGCCAATATAATCATGCGCTTGTAGCCACAGGGTTCAGCCAATCTTTGTTCTGATGACCAGGCCCACACAATTCACCGTCTGAGTCCTATATCAGGCCTATCCCATGTGTTTACAAGAGATTTAGTCATGAAGAGGGCCTTGGATAAAGGAAACTCCCAACTTTAAATGTATTCTTATGGACTCCACAGCCTGTATTTCCTCCCACAACTGGCAACTTCTAGCATGTTTAGCATGTAGCAATTCCACTTAATTCTTGAAATGACAAAACAACTAATAATTCTTCTCAAACAAGGGCACAGAAACCACACCATCACCATGCAGTAAGGTGCTTCTGGGCTAAGTCACAGGTCATCACTGAAAAGGCCCTCTAATACTAAACCATCCTGAAGACCTTACGTGCAAATATGATGGTATCTTATGTGCCTTTGGTAAATGTATCTCCAGTGTAAATAAATGTTTCTGTCTGCTTTTATTTGTTTATATTCATGCATAAAAGTGTTCATTTGACCTTCACATCAGCATATTGTAACGTTACAAGATGAAAAAATCAAAATCCAGGCTCTCTTTGTCTCCTGGGGCTTGAAATATTCGGATTTTCTGGATCATATTACAAGGCATTTCACAGACAGATTCAGCACAGGAAACGCTGGATCAAATTCTGGTCTCATTCATGCTGGCACAAGTCCAAAATAATTGCCGTGGCATCACTTGAGTTATTCTTATACTGAGCTATGAGAGCTGAGATCACAATGAAGTACTTGAAGTTCATATATCTACACATCTAAGGGTATACATTTCCCAGCACCAATAGTACACTTGGCATTTACAACCGTTTCATTTCTCAGTAGAATAAAATACACTGTAAACAAAAAACTGGCAGGTACTCTTGTCTACTACAAAAGAAGCACTACCCTAACATGGCAGTCGTTCAGAAAGACATTTATAATAGCTCTCCAGGGAGAGCCAAACCCTTCTTCAGCCTCCTGTCCCTTCCCAAGCCCCTTCATTTTTACCTTATTTAAGCTGCGTGCAGCACTGTCCTTCCCACCCGGAGTCAGGTTTCGGAGCTGCACGTCAAGCAAGTTCACCAGCTGGACCATGGCAGACACAGAGTACGTGATGTCACCAGCGTACAAGTGGTTTTTTGTGTGCTCTGCAAGCTCCCGGGCAATGTTGGCAGCCATCTCCCCTGACTTCATCTGCAATTGAGAAAGAAGAGGAAAAAGTTGTCCCTGGCTGTTAGCATGATGTTACTCCAGTCCCTTCCAGCCCCACAGTGTTAAGCCAGTCAACTCCCTGCAATAAGAAGAGGAAGAGGAAGAGTAGGGAAGAAGAAGAGGAGAAGAAAAGAAGAGAGGAAGTGAAGAAGTTCTCAAGAAGGAAACTAAAGCAAGGGTCTTCACGGTTTGATCATGTACAGTGTCTGAATATGGTTTTGCAAGTGTTTTTTTCCAGCTACGGTCATCATGTTGGCTTCAACAGAACAATTTCATAGGGCACCGTTGGAATCGAGGGGCAGCTGCTTCTCTTGCACTGCAGCAGGTGCAACAGAAGATGCTATTGCCTTCCATGGGATGCCCAAGCTAGGAAGGGCTTCAGTTAGCTTGTCCCACTGCTTTATCTATGCCACTTGAAAGAAATCAAACCATGTAATTAATCTCTTCTGTCAAGATAAAGCAGTTTCTGATTCTAGAATATTATTTGATAGCAAAGAGGTGATTTTTGTTACAATTCCTGCGCAAAAAAGTTCCTTGTAAAAGGAACAAAAATAGATGGCATAACCCAGATGAACACGAGAAAAAAACGTTCACAATTCCCATCATGTGGATTTAATAATCAGGTGCTAATTTACCACTTGGCATTTGCACGCAGGACGTGTATCTTACCACACTAGTCACTACATCTGTAATGAGGCTAGTGATTCTCAGCACATAAAAGCATACAAACTCAGGAGCAAAAGGCTTAAGGCTTAAAGCAGAGGCCTACTGGAAGGGAAAACTAAGTAGGCTGTTTGGCTGAATCTTCTATTAAAAGACTTTTATTGTCTAGTTGAGTCATAAAACTCACAAGTCACCTGCAGTGAAATTGACTGTGTAATTATTTGGGAAACTCTCTCTTTCCCCCTGTGGTTTTTCCCCCTTTCTTGTTCTGTTTTTTGCTCTCCCTATTTGATGCCCCTTTCCTTTTTTATGCCACGGGGACCGGGGATAGGGCAGCTTGTCCCATCTCCTTTCTGCAAGCAGCCCACTATGAAAATACTATTGTAGGTTGCTGGTCGTCTTTTTGTTATACACCACTCTGTGATCTGGAATGCATATCTATGGGGAATATGCCAGGGATAAGGAGAAATTACACAGGATGACATTTAAATGAAGCTCCCACTTCTCTGTTGGGCTTAGTGACCAACTCTGCTGGGTTCTTCATATAAAATTTCCAATTGTCTTATCTTCCAACAGTTAGAAATCAGATATTTCTCTTGTTCCCTCAATTTCTGGTGTTATAATAAAAGCAAGATTGATTGCAGGCTGAGCTTCTATCTCTCTGTAAATCAATTAGCTGAGATATAAATGAATAACTTACTTCCATAAATTTGACAGCAACAGCCCATCTGATTTAATGAAATCTAACTGAAGATGTTCATATGCTCATCTTTAGAGAATTAAAGCATATGATGATATAGATAAGATAAATAAAGGAGATAATGTGTTGTTCTTCCCATTAGAGCAATGATAACATATATTCAAAAACTGAATCATTTCTTCCTTGTTACACACAAGGCTAATGCCACAGAAACCAGATCCTATTCTTACAGCTGCCTGCTCTCCTAAGCAGCTGAAGAAAGCCATGCATCAGCACAGAGGCTGAATTTTGACCTCTTCTGTTGGCACCCAGAACTTCAAAGAATGACTGCATCAAATCCCTTTATGCAAAGAAATAATTTTCAACATTTTCCTGCAGTTCATCGCTGGAGCTTAGCATGTATCATGACACATGGTGTTTCCGTAAGCCTTGCAGAAAACTGCAGGA